TAACATTATTTTTTGTGAATTTTTGTGATATCCATTCTTTTTAATATGCTTACCGATGCTTTTAATTTTTATCCAGTTGAATTAACTCCCCTATAGACTTACGTGCGTACTTTATTGCTTTTTATAACAATTTGGTTTTTGAATTTAAAATACTAAATGAAGGACCTTTGACCTTGCTGCTGATAAGATAAACGGCACTAGAGTCTGTGTGTTCGTATTGCATGTACTTCATCTTACCGACCACAATAAGTTGATGGAAGTTCTTCCCGTAGCCTGACGGTTATGTCATTCTCCGGATTTTTGCGTGTATAACTTTATGTGGCTCATTCTCGGCCGATTTTTAGTAATAAAGTAACTTGTGTACTTTCCTCTCAGGCGTCAATGCAATGTCAGTGAATTCCCATGTGTCACTCACATTTGTATCCTTCACATATTACGCGGCCTTGCTAGTCTTCTAATTGTTAACCACTGAATGAAATTCTATGATTGTTCGAAGCCGGACTTAGACCAGCAAACATATGCAATCATTATCGTTTAATCCTGCTCCACCGTATCGGTAACGGCGACTCATGGTCGATTACCCGACAAATCTTCGTACGCGTCCTATTCATCGCAGTATTACGCTGTCGTCAAAAACTTGCTGCGTCTCCCCTTAGCCAAAACACGTCTACTGATGTGTTTGCTGAACTCTACATTGAAGGAATAAATGCGAGCTCTCTAGACCTCCGAAAACAAAATTATGGTCTACGATGCCTCTCCGACACACATACACGCCTAGATTCCTGCCAGTCTACGCTTGTACTTCGTCTCCACTTTTAAGAAACGTTTCATTCTTGAATTTGCATCCATCTTCTCTGCTTTGGTCAACTTCAGTCGGCCATGTTAATTAGGAATCGGTATATTTTTGATACATGCAGTCTGGGTGAGGACTACAATTGGTTACGGGCCAATTTAACTTAACAACCTATAATTACGCACCCATATATCTCGCAGGTATATTTTCTCACTCTACTGCGCCCTTGACAAAAGCATTTCTAATCTCATTTAGACACGGTGCTGGCGTGGAAGAAGCGAAACAAAATCGGAAAATTCAAAGAGCTTGATCCGGAGGAGGCCAAAAAAGCCGAAGAGAAAAGGCTCGCTGCAGAAGCCAAAGAAAAGGCACTGATTGAGAAAATGAAAATCGGGGACAGGTGCGGCTTATATGTACGCTTTTTTCGTCAGTTTCGCGAACCCATTACTACCCAGATCTCTGCGTACTTGTCGCTTTGAGACAAAGGGTGTTCCCAGAATATTCTAGGCTCTGTTTATGAAGTTGTATCTAAAACGCATTACCGTCACGGTGGCTATAATCTTGTTTATGCCAATTTTCTTTGCATAAGTGTGCTCGAAATGGAAATTCTGCAAGTCAGGAAACATTTTTAACAATATCGAAAGCTATGACTAGTTGTTAAGAAGTATCAGTATGAAGGAAGCGCTGCGGAACTGAACCCATCGACTTAGTAGCAGTCAGATTAGAAAAGAAAAAAAAATGATCACTTTTCTCCAGAATTGAATCAGCGAGTGCCTGACTGTCGTTGAATGCTGTCATGCTATAGTATCGACCAGAAGTAAATCAGAAAAATGTATTAGTACCAGCTGATATCGCGCAAAATATGTACCTTAAAGTTTGTATGCTTTTCAATAAAACAGGTGAATTGCCAAACGCAAAACAAAAACGTTTTCCGCCAGAGCTACATTTCCTTCGTATGTCGTTTTGTGTTGACTCAGCCGACATAAATACCCGCTTTTCTTGTGTGCGGTAGCCGGAAAAACACAAGGTCATCGCAGAAACCGAAGACAGTGATCGTAATGCAGAGCAGGCATTTCAAGTTTTTACCTTACATGTCTTCTCATGTAGATAATGCAATTCTCGTCAAAGTCTGCAATTGTGTACACGAGTCATTCCGTTTGCGCTGCAGTTAACCGTAGTAAAGTAAACTGGATATGTCTTTATGCACCAGATCGTCGTGACCAAGCT